GCTCTAAAGAGCAGGAAACTACAAGAAGGAAGCAGCTGGACGGAACATCTTGTGGTTTCAGTTGTCTCTATACAAATGCACAGAGTATAGGAAACAATGAAGACGAATCTGAACTCTTAATAAAGGGTAGCAGACATTACTGAAAGCTAATAGACATTATTGAAAGCTGGTGGGATAAGACACATGATTGGAATGTAGAAATTGAGGGGTACCGCCTATTCAAATGGAATAGACCAAACAGAAAGAGTGGAGGGGAGGAGTATTATATGATGTCTACACTTGTGAAGAGATCCATGACCTGGAGCATGGAAGGCAAGTTGAGAATATATGGGAGGAAATTGTAGGAGAGAGGAACAACAGTGACCTTACTGTGGGTGTGTGTTATAGACCTCCAAGCCAGAGACTTGGATGATGCAGTCAGCAGTATGCTTAAGGAGAGATATCTGTACAAAACATCCAGCCCCTGGCATTTATTTCTTGTTGCTATGCAAGTTTTAGCAAGCTATCTCCATCGTCAGAAGATGCCAAGAGGCCACATCCACACCAAGCATTTAAAGCACATCTGAAAACATAGTAAGTCTCCCCCCACCCCAAGAATTCAGAGAACCGTAGTTTGTTAAGGGTGCTGGGAATGGCTTCTCTGTGAGTGGTAAAATACAGTTCCCAGAATTCTTTGGGGATAAAGGTAAAGGTAAAGGTACCCCTGCCCGTACGGGCCAGTCGTGTCCGACTCTAGGGTTGCGTGCTCATCTCGCTCTAGAGGCCGTGAGCTGGCGCCGTCCGAGGTAACTTCCAGGTCACTTGGCCAGCGTGACGAAGCTGCAGCTGGCGAGCCAGCACCAGCGCAGCACACGGAAACGCCGTTTACCTTCCCGCTATAAAGCAGTCCCTATTTATCTACTTGCACTTAAGAGTGCTTTCGAACTGCTAGGTGGGCAGGAGCTGGGACCGAAAGACGGGAGCTCACCCTGCCGGGGGGATTCGAACCGCCGACCATACGATCGGCAAGTCCTAGGCACTGAGGTTTTACCCACAGCGCCACCCGTATCTTTGGGGATAGTCATGTGCTTTAATTGTATTGGGTGAATTCAGCAGATACTGATTAGTAACCATTAAATAATCCTCAATAGGTTTCTTGGATGTTAGAAGCTTTTAAGTGGGTAACACATTGTTTCACCAGAGGTACCAGGCATGCTTACCAGGGTTTGTGTTTACTTTTGGAACAATGAGGCCAAGTGATCTCTTTATGATACAGGGTTTATTTACATATGTATGCAACCTGTGTCAAGTTGGAGAGAGATCAGAGCATTCACATCCCAAGAGGGTCCTGTTTCTTCCATTGCTGCAGCCTCAGATTCCAAGAGACTCCAAATATCATGTCTGACCTCTGCTGCAGCTTGAAACAGACTGCCTGCTTCATGCTTTGCCCCCCCTCCAGCTTCAAAAAGGGACAATTCTTTCCTGTTTGCTTCCTCATTGCCCACTGCAGTTCTGCTCCACCCTCCTGAAACTCTGTCCTTTTGTCTCTGCTAATCATCTCTTACCTCATCGAGGGCTTTCCCCATTTTCTGTCCAGCCCAGACAGAAAATGGCCTTCTTAATGGGTGTTTCCTGGACATGGAAAAACCGCTTTAAACTCAAGCCCCCATTAGGCCTGGGAATTTAGGGGTTTCCTTACATTCTACCCCTTCACTGAATCCAGACATTTTAGAGGAGTCTTGCTCTCACCCCAAAAACATAACAATATTCACACTTACTTAAGTAAAGGCACTTCCTGTTTGCTCTCTTGCTCCTGTCAATGTGAAGAACAAAGGAAGTGGACTTGCTCTGCATAGGACAAAACTGGCCTCCTTCATCTGCTGAGGAGATTAGCTCTGTGTTTTCTGATGCAAGGAAAGCTTTTGTTCATCTCTGCTTAAGAGTGGTGATCTCCAGGGTCCAAGGAAGACTCAACCAGGTTCCCCCTCCAGAATTAATAGAATGCAATAGCATAAACTCTGGAGAATCATCATTCAGAGACCCAACCCATCATTCAGCTTAACAAATTAGCTTGTCCTCATTAATAAGTGTTCGAAAAGTTTTTCCTTTTGAGTATGGATGTTGGAGGATTCTGGTTTGCTCCACATCTGGGAACAAGTATGGAATATACTTGGAGTTGAGTGTGAATTTCATGCGCTTTATTCAGCTCATAGTAGCAATGAATGAAACTTTCCCCAAAATTGCTAGGTATATATACAGTGGTACCTTGGGCTGCGAACGGGATCCGTTCCAGAGCCCTGTTTGCATCCTGAATAGAACATAAGATGCAATGGCCCGTCTGCTTGTGCGCGGGTTGCATTTTGCCGCTTCCGCGCATTTGTGTGACGTCATTTTGAGCGTCTGCGATGCGCGAGCTGTGAAACCCGGAATAACGCACTCCGTTACTTCTGGGTTGCCGCAGAGTACAACCCGAAAGCACTCAACCTGAAGCACATTCAACACGAGGTATGACTGTACGTTATTTACACAATGGGCCCCGCGTGATTGGCTAATTCCGGGCTGCTCATGTAGGCCAATCAGGTTGCTGATTCACTTCATCCAGGGGCCCGATTGGCTGATCCTGCAGGACAATCAGGTCGCTGATTCACTTCCACCTGGAGTTGGTTTGGGTGGCTCCTGCGGACCAATCAAACTGCTGCATTCTGGATCCTATTTTTCTAGGACTCAGCTCAGTACATAACAAAGCATAATCTCTGGGGGCTGGGGGCGGTCTTTGCAAAGATCAGAACAGATGTGAGGGATAATCTACAAATCGATACCCAAAGGAGCATGACAGCACAACAGTACGCAATGGTCTAAGGGCTGCCTCCTTTTTAAACATTTTACATTTGCAAGGTTTTGATTTGGAACAGGAGATGGGATAGACTGGGATGGACTGGGCCCCAGAAAGGAGATTCTCCATGTACCAGAGAGGAAGCAACTGGCATCCTGGAATTGTGTTTGAAGCAGCTACAGAAATTGTCAGCAGGGGTTCAGCTTCTGCACTACTCAGTGAGTTTCAAGGGATACAATGGAGATCTCTTCCATGTCTTGCATAAAAGAAGGAGTGGGGAAATGAGCAGAAAAGACTGGGGGATAGATCACCCTCCCTCTTACTCAGTGGTGTGTGGTCATTGGAATAGGGGGACTAGGCTAGTTCCCTAATTGTTTCCCTTGCGCCTCCTTCCTAAAGCCTGGGAAGCTTCTGCCTGGCTTAGGAAGAGAAGTACGATGCTCCGAAGAGTCCAAGAGCCCTCCCTCCACCTTCCCAAAGCCCACCTAGCTGTAAGAAGGAGGCAGCAGAGCTCCAGCATCCTGTTAGAAGCCCGGTGCCTCATTCCCAAAGCCCGGGAAGCTTCTGCCCAGCTTAGGGAAGGAGTAGCAATGCTCACAGGCTCAACATCAACACCCCCCCATCGCCCGGGCAAGCTGGTGCCCCTACGAAAAAATTCACCGCACGCCACTGCTCTTACCCCAAGTATAATTGGAGCCACATTTTTCACCAGCTGCGGCCTCTGAACCATCTTCAAGGGCAGCCCCACATAGAGCGCATTAGAGTAGTGCAAACAGAATTGTCCATTAGAAAAATTTTGTGCCCAGCTCCATTTTTTGCAAGACTTGAAATAAATATCTCCATTCTACTCTATCAAACACTTTTTCTGCATCTATAAATAACAGTCTGTAAGGATTGCATTGTTTTCTAATTATATAATTAATATTCAGCTAATATTCAGTTAGATGCCATTTTGCTATTCATAAGAAATGCTCTTTTATCATTCTTGTCAAAAAATGTAAATCTTGCCACCAAATACCTGCCCAGTGTTTAAAATATTGGTTAAGTAATATGATAGGCTTTAAGACTAAGCTTAAACTGCATATATCCCTGGTGTGGCAATCTTTGCTTTGCTCCCCCCCCCATGACTGTATTGAGAGATTTTAATAGATGATTAATAAAATTATCTGGAAAATTCTCATAATACTCAGCTTTAAAGTCATCTGGGCTTCAGCCAGGAGTTTTGCTGCCCTTTGTCTTTTAATCAACTGAGTTAATTCTGCTATTGTAATTAGGTTTTAAATAATTTTTCTTTCATCAAAAAAGATTTTAGGTAAAACATTTTCTTTACACATAATATCCATTCTTTCATAATTGATATCAAAAAGTACTGCTTCGTCAAATCTGCATTAATTCCAGCACAAAATAAATGAAGTCCAGTTTTGCTATTAAAAAACTTGGGTTCTTTTCTCTTGTAACTGTCATATCTAGTAATTTTATTCAGTAGGATGGTGTTCCAGTTCCTTCTCAACCACTGATTGGTTAATGACTCATAACATTTTGTTGTATCATTACATGTACAATACAAATTTTCAAAAGCACACGCCTGAAAACCATCCGAAGCAACATTGGTCCATGATTGTCAAAGATTGACTTCTACCGTTTTTTCTTCTTATTTCTGAAATCACATGTCATGGTCTAAATCTGAATGCACTTTTAACTTCTGAAGAACTCAGAAAAAGTCACATTCCTGCAAGTGTTCTAAAGGAAGGGATAGATGTCTCTTGGGCTTCTGAAATTAAATTTGCTTGGACTGCCGTGCTAAAACTATTGATATTTAACATCTTTTGGGTTGAGTTTTAAAGACATCTGGGGATTTCAAAGCTCATCTTCCCCCTTTAATCCCTAGATACTTCCTCAGAGACTGCTGAATCTCAGAATTCCTCAGGCTGTAAATGAAGGGGTTCAGCATGGGAGTCACAACTGTGTAGGCCACAGACATCACTCGGACCTTGGAGCCAGAATAGGTGGAGGATGGGCGGACATACACAGCTATAACAGTTCCAAAGAACAAAACAACTGTGGTGAGGTGAGCGCTGCAGGTGGAGAAGGCCTTTCGCTTCCCAGCAGCTGATGGGATCTTGAGAACCTTGGAGAAAATGAGGATGTAGGACAGAAGAGTGACCATGAAAGGTCCCACCATGGTCACAGTGCCCTCAGTGAGGGTCGTCATCTGGATTGCTGAGGTGTCTGAGCAGGAGAGCTTGATCAAGGGATGGAGGTCACAGAAGAAATGGGGGATCTCCCCGGAGGCACAGAAGGAAAGGAAAGACATCATCAGGGTGTAGAGCAACGAGTGGAGAAAGCCTAGGACCCAACAGCCTGTAGCCAACAAGAGGCAGTGTTTTGCGTTCATCAGCACAGCATAGCGAAGTGGGTGGCAAATGGCCACAAAGCGATCATAAGCCATGGAGGCCAGGAGAAAACTTTCAGTGTTTCCAAATCCCAGGAAGAAAAACATCTGTGTCAGGCACCCTCGATAGGAGATGTGTTTGGTATGAGTCAATAGGTTCTGCAGCATCTTAGGGACAGTGGTGGAGGAAAACCCCATATCGGCTAATGAGAGATGACTGAGGAAGAAATACATGGGGGAGCAGGAGAGCCGGACATCGCGGTAGATGAGCAGGACAATCACTGAGTTGCCCAGTAGAGTCAGCAGGTACATGAAGAGGAAGCCAGGGATGAGGAGACACTCGTATCCTGACTGGTTTGAGACAAGACCCTGCAGGATGAATCCATCGGGATACGTCAGGTTGCCCTGAGGCTGAGAAAGAGTGGGGTAAACAGAACTGACGGCATGTTCCCATTGTACACTTGACAGTAACAAGAATACAAGAGGACACTCCACAGAAGGAATGACAAAGCAAACACATTTCCTTTCCCCATGCTTCCAATGCCAGCAATGGTGAGGAGGCAGGTGAGTTCCCCTGGTGTGTTTGCATCTCCCAACTGCAAAAGCCTGGGGACAAGAAATGTAAAATCATTTGTGTTTTCCTCTCTCAATTTTTCTGGGGAACACACCTAAATCCGGAAGTAGGATTTGAGCAAGAGGTTATCACTTGGCTCTCCTAGTCCCAATTGTGAAAAAGGTATATATTTATCAAATGGCACACTTGTAGGTCACACCAAAGAGTGTGCATGGGAGATCACACTCGGTATGTGCACACTAGCAGGAAATGTGGTGATGGGGCCCTTCAGTGATTCTGGGGCCCAGAATCATGGATACTAGGGCCCTTCTATAGATTCTGGGGGCCAGAAAATGTCCAGCCTTGCCCACTGCTGCTGCCGGTCACTTCTGAAATTGCGTTGGGGGGAAACTGGTAGAAAACAGGTGGGGCCAGGATGGCTAATAAACAGGTATGATGGGGTTTGTAGTGTAACAGCATCTGGAGGACCACAGGCTAGCCGCCCCCCCTGCTTTATAGCAAAGTGGGGTTGGGGGGGGGTTACTTTTTACCACAAATGGACCACACAGGTAAGGCAAGCAGAGGCTTTCCCACCCCCAACCCATTTTCTCTCACCGTGCGCTCCATTGCATGCAGCACTTTTTGACCCCGTCCTGCATGAATTTCTGGGATCAGGGGTCAGGCTGGGAGGGTTGGGACTTGGGAGTCGCAGCAAAGGAATGTATGGGGGTGGGGGAGATCCTAAGGAACCCTGTTGAGGTCAAACGTCAGCCTCCTTCCTATTTTAGATGTGAATGGGGAGTGGGAATATGAGAATAGCAAGAATGGCTTCCGCCATCCGTCTCAGGTAAGTGATTCAGAGCTTTCCCATATTCCAACAGAATATTAAAATACAATAGTCTGTTAAACATTAAAAGCTTCCCTAAACAGGGCTGCCTTCAGATGTCTTCTAAAAGTCTGCTAGTTGTTTTTCTCTTTGACATCTGGTGGGAGGGCGTTCCACAGGGCCACTACTGAGAAGGACCTCTGCCTGGTTCCCTGTAACTTGGTTTTTCACAGTGAGGGAACCACCAGAAGGCCCTCGGAGCTGGACCTCAGTGTCTGAGCTGAATGATGGGGGTGGAGACACTCCTTCAGGTATTCTGGACCTGAGTAATAATATTTTACGCCAGCAGTTCTATGCAGTTGTTTCTTTAGTAGCCAGCCAATTTAATGATTGCTCTGTATTGCTTTTAATGGCTTTTTAAAAGTTTTCACATTGCTGAGGACTCCCTGCAGCATAGATTATAGATTCCCTCTCATAGATTACTCTATGAGAGGAAGGTATATAAATATTTTAAGGAGACAAACAATTTTTCAGTTGAAGTTAAAGTGTTACAAAAATCAGAATTATTAATCATTTATGTTTATTAGAATGAATTAATCATGCTTGATTTTCTTTTGTACTAATTGCTTGCTTCTAAGTATATTTTTTCTAAAGCACAGGACAGTCAGAGAGGAAATGGAATGCAGGCTATGTGTAAGCAGATAATATCAAGAACAGAGCTGTCAGAACCAGCTAGCAGAACAAGGGTTTGCAACATATTTGGCTGGCAGAGAGGAATTGGCAGTGCAGTGCAGTGCAGTGCAGTGCAGGATAGATACCATGGCAAATACTCCTTTGTTTAACACTGTTTCTCTGGAATGCATTTTTTATATATAAACTGTGATTTCTTTCTGTATCATGCAGACCCTTTTTCTGACCTGAGAAGTCAGCGGTCTGTCCCTTCTTTAGGTAAAGGTAAAAGGACCCCTGATCATTAGGTCCAGTCGTGGCCGACTCTGGGGTGCGGCGCTCATCTCGCTTTATTGGCCGAGGGAGCCAGCGTACGGCTTCCGGGTCATGTGGCCAGCATGACTAAGCCGCTTCTGGGGAACCAGAGCAGCGCATGGAAACGCCATTTACCTTCCCGCCGGAGCGGTACCTATTTATCTACTTGCACTTTGATGTGCTTTCGAACTGCTAGGTTGGCAGGAGCAGGGACCGAGCAACGGGAGCTCACCCCATCGCTGGGATTCAAACCGCCAACCTTCTGATCGGCAAGTCCTAGGCTCTGTGGTTTAACCCACAGCGCCACCCGCGTCCCTTCTTTATTCAGCTGGATAAACCTGAGTTCTGCCTCTAAGAAGTCTGACTCCCTTTCCTTGAGTGGAAAATCTGGAACACCTATCCAAGGGAAGAACAGCATAGATTTCTGCAACAAAGGATTTATAGTGTGATCCTAATCTCCCAAATATACCAGCTGGGAGAGTTTAGAGTGTGGGGTGAAATCTCCCTTGATCCTGGCCATCTTCACTTGCAGAGGAGATCTGCTGGTGGATGCAACCCCTGACATAGCTGCCTCGTTAACTTTTGTTCTGCAATGAAACATTTTGGGGAGGTTAAGATAATGGGACTCACCAGGGCAGGAGACGTTGACATGGTCAAACAAGTAGTTCCATCACATCCTGATGTTGTGATCTGTGCAAAGAACAGAGATTTTGGGGGAAAAACTAGGTTGAGGCAAACCGTTGACAGTGGCAAGAGATGAGGATTCCTTTGCTGGCTGTAATTTTTGATGCCTTAATTTATAGTGAATTGCCCTGAGACCCCTGGGTATAGGGCGGTATATAAATTCAATAATAATAATAATAATAATAATAATAATAATAATAATAATAATGATAATAATAGAAACTTGGTAACTTTTTAAAACTAACCATTTCAGAGGCTTCATAAGTGAGGAGTGGGGGATTCCTACAATAATGATATTCCCAACTGAGAGAGGAAACATCTCAAAGTTAATATATTCAATGTCTATTGCAAGAGGTGATCATTTTGTGGCAAGATCACCCAGTTGGTTTCCCTGTTCTAATGAATCAGGGGGCTGCAGCATGTCTTTCTCCTCCTTAGTTCTCTGGTCAGCAGACTCTTCTTACCCTCTCGGGTCCCAGGTGGATTAGAACATCACCAGAGCCCTGCTGGATCAAGCCAAATCTCTTTCGAGTCCAGCATCCTGTTCTTAAACATCCTATCAGATGGCTGGGGGAAGACGACAAAGAGCAGGCTCTGAATGTGACTACACTCTCCCCACCAGTAATCTCTGGCAACTGGTATCCAGAGATACATGACTGGTATTCTGAGCCAGACCATTAATCCATCTGGTTCAGTATTGTCTACACTGACTGGGTGCAGCTTTCCAGGGTTCCAAACAGGGAATTTCCCCAGTCCTACCTGGAGATGATGGCGACTGAACCTGGGATCTTTTGCATGCAAAAGAGATGTTCCACCACTGAGCTATTGCCCTTCCCTTAATTGTGTGAACCTGTCGCTATTTCAATAGATTGGGAGGTTTTCTCCAGAGGCAGCAGCAGGTGTCAGCTGGGTGCATGTGAGGCTTGTTAATCAAACCACTTCTCCCTTCTTGAGAGCTATACTTTCTTAGATAAACTCAAGAGAGAGCCCAGATCAGAAGGTTTGTAATCAATCAGTGATGCAATTTTCCACACACTGGTGCATGGAACCTCCTCTCTCAGGGTGGCCTCTGAGCTATTGCTGAAGGTGGTTCTCTCCCCCCCCCCCCCGACAATTTATGTCTATTCACATGCAACAAGTGCTCAAGGTTGCTGGCTTATGGGAGTTTCCCGGAACGTTAACACCAGCTTTTCCGTTAATTAGTTCCGAGGTGAATTTTTTAAAACCACGTTATTCAGTCCTCCCACATTGATTGACATATAGTCTGATTCAGCTCGAGTTGTCATAAAGAGATCCTGTGTGGTGCAGTTGCTAGTGTTGAACGAGAAGCTGGGAGAGCAGACAATGGAACACACATTGCCAAAAAACAGATAGTCAAACCCAGTTACAGCTTTAAGCCAACACAAGGACAGCAACAGCTTGTTCCTTTCAAGCAGGTTCTCAGGCCACCTGGATCTCTTCAGGCATTGCTCCTCTTCCTTGTTGGGCACTCCCAGTCACTGTTCTGTATCCAAGATGCTGACCCCATCCTTGGCATGCCCAAGATGAGCATCCAACACATTTAAGCCTAGATGTAAGCCTAGGAATTCTAATCTAGGAATTAGAAAGGAGCTCAGGCTTACAGCCTTACAATATAGTTATTCTAAGACCATCCGGTTAATGTGAGTATTCTACAATGTTACCTGATCCAACAGGGGACATAAGAAGTGTCCGTTGATGTTAATATGTTATAAATGACCACTGTGCTATGTCAAATTTCTTCTTCTTCTTCTTCTTCTTCTTCTTCTTCTTCTTCTTCTTCTTCTTCTTCACCCCTAACCACTTAGTTGTGATATGTTCTGAAAGTGCTACATACTGTATTCTAACACGCCAAACCTTCACGATGAATCCTTTAGATCAGGGGTGGGCAACCTAAGGCCCAGGGGCCGGATGCAGCCCAATCACCTTCTCAATCCGGCCCGTGGACGGTCCAGGAATCAGCCTGTTTTTATATGAGTAGAATGTGTCCTTTTATTTAAAACGCATCTCTGGGTTATTTGTGTGGCCTGCCTGGTGTTTTTACATGAGTAGAATGTGTGCTTTTATTTAAAATGCATCTCTGCGTTATTTGTGGGGAATAGGAATTTGTTCTCTCCCCCCCCCCAAAAAAATAATGGTTCGGCCCACCACATGGTCTGAGGGATGGTGGACTAGCCCACGGCTGAAAAAGATTGCTGACCCCTGCTTTAGATAGGGCACGTTAAAAACCATGTCTGAAGCACAGTGTGTTTAAAGAGCATGCTCTCCTTTCTTTTTGAAATGCGATCGTAATAGCCAATGAATTTATTTATTTTTAGGGTTAAAGGATTTGTGCCTTTGGCACCACCAGGGGAGATTCCACTTCCATGGGCTGTGATTTGAATGAAGAGAGAGATCCCAGAGAGATCCTTTAGAAGACTCACATAGAAACAGTCACCGTGCTCCGAAGCCCAAATTGAGTATTTATGAAGTGTACAAAGGGCTACTCTGGTTTTCTCTCTCTCGCTTTTAACACTGGACAGCTCCCTGGACATTGACTTCAAAGGGTGGGATCTTTGCTACTCAGGATGAATGCTTTTTTAAAAATGAGAACAGCCATAATTTAGTATGTAGAGCAGACTAACATTGATTAACACCCCTGATACCTTCATATTCATCCCAATTTCTTCCCTTTCCTGATCTGATAGCTATGTAGCTTATTCTTTATATATGTCTGTTCATTATAAATGACCCAGCTGCTAGATGAGCACCTTTTAAACTTGATGTACAATATTGCCTTATTCTTTATATATTTCTATTTTTATTTTCATATATAAATTCATTGCTAGATAAACAAAATATAATTAAATTTTTCAAGTTAAAGCAACTGGCAAGTTGCACTGTAAACATTTTTATGTTTAAATAGAGTAACTTAATCTAATCTAATTAAATTAGAGTAATACAAACTATAGTAAACTCACACTGTGGAAGCAATGAGGTTGCTCAAGAAAAACCTTACTCTTATTCCTAAAAAACTTATGTTGGGGCAAAAAGTAAGCACTACTTTCATCATTAGTCTCTGACTTGCCTTATTCAATGGAGGGAACCTCTAGACCCCTCAGTGACGCCATGGATACCCATAGCGATTTGAAATGTTCATTTCCTTCTCACGCTCCACAAAATATTTCACCCTCCCTACGGAAGTCCAGTGTGATGCCTCCTCCCGCTCTCTCTGAGCTTGCCTTTTCATTGCCTCTCGGATTGGCCGTTGTTCTTCGGTTATCGGCAAGGATTCCTCGAGGTCGTCTGGAGGTGTCCTCCAGGGAATAAAAGTATCCCCTCGGTACGGCGGAGAGGCTGGTGGTTGCAAGGGCTGAGCTCTAGTTACAGATGGTCGGATGTTGCTTAGGAACCTGGAGCTTTGACGTGGCACAGCTGGTGGGTGAGGTCGGGTGGGCAGCCTCCCAGCATTGGTGGGATGTGGTCTTAACCAGCTGGTGTGGGAAAGCTGTGAGGTGGGTGGCCATCCTTCATATGTAGCTGGTGGCTTTGGCCATGGTTTTGGCAATGGATGTTCACAATGGGTGGGCAATCTCTGGGAAGAAGAAGAAGAAGATTGCTGCCTAGGCACGGAGAAGGGTGCCAGCCTCCGTGCCAAGTGGGGTGCCGGCCTTGGCAGGGAGGGGGGCTGGGTAGTGGGCACTGGCTTATGCAGGGACTTCAGGAGAGGTACCTCCTGTGGAGCCTGTGAGTTCCCAGAGCTACTGCTGGTGGCAGTTAGTGGAGGGAGATTTCTGGCCGCCATGGATGTACTCTTCTTCTTCCCAAGGGGATGGAAGACTTGCACAGACTCCATCATGTGCCAAGCCAGATTGGTCCTTGGGATTGGCACCAAGGGGCGCTCTTCCAATTTGATCTTTTTCCCTTTAATGCCTGGTGTGCTCCCTTTCACTGTGGCCTTCTCTTTGGTTTCAGGTCCCATCTCATTTTTCTCCAACCCTGTCTGGCAGTGTTTGGAATTTCCTCTTTCCAGATTGTCCTCTTCATATTTTAAACTTCCCTCCTCTTGAAATGGAAGCTTTCTCTTCTCCTTACATTTTTTCTCCTGACTAGGATGACTTTCCTTAGAGCCCGTTATGCTTGTTCCCTCTATGCTCAGAATACACTTGGGAAACTTGGGTGAAGCGTCTGCCTTTGTCGAAATGCCTTTCCTTTTCCCCTTAATCTCCGGTAATGCCTTTGGCTTCATGGACTTTTCATGGGTGGGCTGGCATTTTCTAGAGCCCTCTGGGATAGGTTCCAGAGTGATTCTGGGGAGCTTGATTAACGTCTGGGACTCAGCAACACCCCACTTTCTTCTCCCTGTCATGCTGATGGGTTTGCCTTCAATTTTCCCGTTCCCCTCGCGTTTGCCTTTGCTTTGGGTGGAGTCACATTTTGACTTCTGGGTTTTCTTCAAGGATTTGGGTCTCAGAGGATCTGGTGGAAATGGAAACCCGATATCTTTTAAGATGTAAACTGGGCGCTGGATCAGTGGATTACATGAGGGCTTATTCAGTTTTGTATCCTGCTCATCTGTTGGAGGAAGTGATGCCTGTCCCTGTGTTGCTGAGCCCTTTCTGAGTATGCTCACCTCTGTGCCCTTGATGTTTGGATCATTCACAAAGGAATGTGGGTGCTGGGCTTTTGGCACCTCTTTGCATGGCTCAGGGGCATCCGGGATTGACTTTGCCTCTCCTCTGAAAGACCTTGTGGGCACTGGTGCTAATGACTGGTGGCTCCCCAGGGCTTCCTCTGGAAGGCAGGCCTCCGCCAGCATTCCTTCACTGCCTTTGGTTGTCTCACTGGAAGCAAGAGGTGGAAAGAGGCCTTCTGGAATAAGCGGCTCCAGTGAAGCAATCAGGGTCTCTATCTCGGGATACTTGGAGAGGAGGTCCTCTGGCAGCTGGAACTCGTCTCGGAGGAGACTTTCTTCATCGGCTGGTTGGGGAGGTGGCGGCGGATGTTCCACCACTGAAAGAAAACAAATGAAAAGCATAGCAGTGACTGTTTGAAGACAAAGAATCTACTCCGGTTGGCTGAGACAAACTCGAGGAAGTCCAAGACTCCCATGATTAGCTGTTAGAGCATCTCCATATTAAATAAAGTTAAAAAGTGGCAGATGGATCTGGCTCCATGTTTATCATGTGTAGATTCTTAGCTGACCTATCAGAAGTGCTAGATTAGGCCATGACATCTAGCCCGGAAGGCACACTTGGAAAGCACATGGTCTCAGTCACTGTATGTTCCCACACTTACCATTCAGAGCAGCATTGTTGAGCTGGGTTCCTTCCAGTTTTTCTTGTGCTATAGATGCACCCAGGACATCTGTCACTTGGGCACTGACTGCTCCTGTCCCCTGAAGTCCATGTGGGACTTGTACCACTGAAAGAAATTAATCAGGAGGGATCAGTGATTCTACAGCCAAGGAAGACCATTAATTAATTAATTCAGTTACTCTTTCTTCTGTCCAGAGGAAGGTAAGTGAAGGCCTTGTTCTCTGTCCTAGGGAGGCTCAGCAGCCATAGACTTTCCAACTCGATAATGCACAAAACTGTCTAAAGGTGGGCAGGCTGGCTGCCTGAAGGTGGGTTCAGGGGCTAAAGTGGCCTAGTTGCACTACTGGGCTCAGTGTGTTATCAGTGATATAAACTGGGGTCCATTTTTATATACCTCAAATTTCAGTGTTCAGTGATGAGGTGACAGTGGGGAAACTGAATAGTATAAGGTACCCTGAATCCAACATTGTCCCAGAGGATTATGGGTGGTAGTATATGGTGTGTGGTATGCTCACATGACATGCTGTTTTGGATTAAGAACATAAGCCTATGAGAAGAGCCCTGGCTAAAGGCCCATCGCGTCCAACATCCTGTTCTCAGATGCTACAAGGAGGACCTGCGTACGACAGTGTTTTCCCCACTTGTGATTCTCAGCAGCTGAGAATAGGGAAGGTAGAATATGGCTGTTGTGGCCAGTAGCCATGAATAACTTCAGCTATGAAATTGGATTGTTTTTCTAAACAAACTTGTCTCTCTGCTGCGATGAGAGGTTGTCCCTTGCTATCATAATCTTGCCAGAATTGTGCACTGTACAGTATTCCAAATGTGGTTGCACCGTAGATTAGGATAACAGCTTTTGGATATAGGAACTTACTCTGTTCCATAAGAATATACCCAACACTCACCCACATTGCGGATGCAGGTGGTGCCGTGGGTTAAACCACAGAACCTAGGGCTTGCCGATCAGAAGGTTGGTGGTTCGAATCCCCGCGATGGGGTGAGCTCCCGTTGCTCAGTCCCAGCTCCTCCCTACCTAGCAGTTCGAAAGCACGTCAAAGTGCAAGTAGATAAATAGGTACCACTCTGGTGGGAAGGTAAACGGCATTTCCGTGCGCTGCTCTGGTTTGCCAGAAGTAGCTTAGTCATGCTGGCCACATGACCCGGAAGCTGTATGCCAGCTCCCTTGGCCAATAAAGCAAGATGAGTGCAGCAACCCCAGCAATCCGCGACTGGACCTAATGGTCAGGGGTCCCTTTACCACCCACATTGCAGGGCCATGTGGAAATGGTACTAGGAAATGTTACCTACTGAGGCTAGGTTAATTGCCTGATGGGTTAGAGGGTCCCAGACACCCATTAGAAAGCAAATGATTCCTTTACAAAGATGAGCACAAACCTTGTGAGGCTGGAAAGTACCCAGTGACTGGGGCAGGTTCCAGGGTGGACTGAGGTTCCACCTGCTGGAGGACCAGGAGCATTTCATTGTTCGCAGCTGGTGGCATAGGGACAGCGCTACCAATCCGGACGATCGGGTTCCTCTGCTCCAGTGGGATGGGAGCTAATGTTCCATGGTGGTAGAGGCCCACCCCATCCTGGAAGGTGGTTGGGCGAATGGGTCCAAGACCAGGAGGCTGCACCTGAACCAGCTGGAGGTGAGGTTGTCTATATAATTGATTCATAGGTCTGGCTGTTGCAAAGTCCCTGTGCTGTGTTTGCAGTGGTGCATACAAAGGCACTGAGAGATGTCCAGTTGTGCCCCACCCATGGAAAGAAGGACGGAGAGCTACTGGGGTGAACAGCTGCTGCTGATCATTCGGTACACCCTGTAAGAGAGGTATTTCACCATGAAGGTATCCCTGGGTGGTGGTGCTGCCTTGGTTTGGTTGGAAGGGCAGAGCTGATCCTTGAGCCTGCAGCCAACCGCAGTTCTCACATGGTGCTGATGAGTGGGAGATGCTGTGTTGACATTCTCCCACCGTGGAGCTGCTAGTCACTGTGGTGCTCTGAGGCTGGCTGTTGCCCCCTTCGGTCCGCCTGCTGTTCGGAGCCTGATCTGCAATGCAAACAAAGTGAGCAGGAGTGTAAAGATCCCTGCAGTTTTTGATCAGCCTTCGCAAGAATGAGCCCTTCCTTAGCAAAGTGGTTTTCTTATTGCTAGGTCAGCCTCTTTACCACTTCTAATTGTTAGGTATTTTAGAGACCCTTTTCTTCAGTTCCCTTTCTACTCTTCAGTGCTGCTCTCCATCCCTCCTTCCTTTGGGCCTTAACCCCTCATGAATGTATGCTGTTCTCAGCAATGCCCACCTTGTTTGACTTTTCCCCAACTTCTGTTGCTGGAGGTTCTAAACTACTGGATCTTTGAAAAGGGTTGTGTAAAATGAATGGCCTTCTTTTGCTGCCTTGAGGTCTTCCTGCTATTCTATTATCCCCTAGTATCTGGTTGCTTATGATCCCATTGGGGAGGAATCTTTTCCCCATCCTATCTCCCTCCCTCTCTCTTCCATGGAGAAATAGCGCCACCCTGCTGATGTTGCCATAACACATTCTGTCTTTCATGATGCTCTGCTATGTCCCCCCCTCCCCCGGGTAAACATGAGGGTGAATTTTTCCCCAGTGTTCCTCACCCATGCTCAGTGTCAATTCTAGTCAGCATCCCTTAGGGTGGACCTATAGATCTGGGATCATATGAACCTGTTTACTGCTGTCACCACAGTAACCAGCAAGATTCTAACTGGCCAGAGAATGTTATGATGCAAAAGGCAGTGCAGAGTCATGGGCAGTTGGCCTGAACTGAAGGTGCCAGGAAAACAAAGATGTCTGTTAGCGGAACTGAAGAGTAACTGAAGTTATGGCCAGTTTGAGTCATAACAAGCCCTACCACACTCTCCACCCATTGTAGGCATCCCCCCAGTGTGACCGGGTTAATCTAGATACCTAGTGAAGTGACGGGCACCAGCTACCGTAAATCTTACACCTTTTAAAGCCACCTGTTTATATAACTTGGCGAGATAGGGGTCACAACAGCAACAAAGAGCATCATTCATCTAAGGACACCACTCCTCTCAAAGAACAATTGCTGTTTCTGGCTCTCAGATGAGAGCAGAATCAAACCAAACTTCATTTGGCTCTGGATCAGTGGATAATTTATGGATATGTACTTATTGATCTATAAAAACCCGTAAAAGAAATGGAGTGGCCCTCATAGTCAACAAAAGAGTGGTGAAAGGTGTACTGGGATGCAATCTCAAAAATGATAGAATGATCTCGATATGAATCCAAGGCAGACCTTTTAACATCACAGTAATCCAAATTTATGCACCTACTGGTGCTGAAGAAACTGAAATTGACCAATTCAATGAAGACTTACAACACTTTATAGAAGTGACACCAAAGAAGGATGTTCTTCTCATTATAGGGGATTGGAATGCTAAAGTAGGGAATCAAGAGATAAAAGGAACAACTGGCAAGTTTGGCCTTGGAGATCAAAACAAAGCAGGGCAAAGGCTAATAGAGTTCTGTCAAGAGAATAAGCTGGTCATCACAAACACGCTTTCCAACAACACAAGAGACGACTCTACACATGGACATCACCAGATGGGCAGCATCGAAATCAGATTGATTATATTCTCTGCAGCCAAAGATGGAGAAGCTCTATATAGTCAGCAAAAACAAGACCTGGAGCTGACTGTGGCTCAGATCATCAGCTTCTTATAGCAAAATTCAAGCTTAAACTGAAGAAAGTAGGAAAAACCACTGGGCCGGTAAGATACAATCTAAATCAAATCCCTTATGAATACACAGTGGAAGTGAGGAACAGGTTTAAGGATTTAGATTTGGTGGACAGAGTGCCTGAAGAACTATGGATGGAGGCTCGCAACATTATACAGGAGGCAGCAACGAAAACCATCCCAATGAAAAGGAAATGCAAGAAAGCAAAGTGGCTGTCCAACGAGGCCTTACATATAGCGGGGGGGGGGGGGGGAGAAGGCAAGCAAAATGTGAGGGAGATAGTGAAAGATACAGGAAATTGAATGCAGATTTCCAAAAAATAGCAAGGAGAGACAAGAAGGCCTTCTTAAACGAGCAATGCAAAGAAATAGAGGAAAACAACAGAATGGGAAGAACCAGAGATCTGTTCAAGAAAATCGGAGAAATGAAAGGAAAATTTCGTACAAAGATTACCATAATAAAGGACAAAAGTGGTAAGGACCAAACAGAAGCAGAAGGCATCTAGAAGAGGTGGCAAGAATACACAGAGTAATTATACCAGAAAGATATGGGTGGCTCGTACACCCGAGGTAGTGTGGTCGCTGACCTTGAGCCAGACATCCTGGAGAGTGAAGTCAAATGTGCCTTAGAAAGCACTGCAAATAACAAGGCCAGTGGAAGTGATGCTATTCCAGCTGAACTATTTAAAATTTTAAAAGATGATGCTGTTAAGGTGCTACACTCAATATGCCAGCAAGTTTGGAAAACTCAGCAGTGGCCAGAGGATTGGAGAAGATCAGTCTACATCCCAATCCCAAAGAAAGGCAGTGCCAAAGAATGCTCCAACTACCGCACAATTTCACTCATTTCACACGCTAGCAAGGTTATGCTTAAAATTCTACAAGGAAGGCTCAAGCAGTATGTGGACCGAGAACTCCCAGAAGTGCAAGCTGGATTTAGAAGAGGCAGAGGAACCAGAGACCAAATTGCAAACATGCGCTAGATTATGGAGAAAGCTAGAGAGTTCCAGAAAGACATCTACTTCTGCTTCATTGACTATGCAAAAGCCTTTGACTGTGTCGACCACAGCAAACTATGGCAAGTTCTTAAAGAAATGGGAGTGCCTGATCACCTCATCTGTCTCCTGAGAAATCTCTACGTGGGACAAGAAGCTACAGTTAGAACTGGATATGGAACAACTGATTGGTTCAAAATTGGGAAAGGAGTACGGCAAGGCTGTATATTGTCTCCCTGCTTATTTAACTTATATGCAGAATTCATCATGTGAAAGGCTGGGCTGGATGAATCCGTAGCCGGAATTAAGATTGCCGGAAGAAATATCAACAACCTCAGATATGCAGATGACACAACCTTGATGGCAGAAAGTGAGGAGGAATTAAAGAACCTTTTATTGAGGGTGAAAGAGGAGAGCGCAAAATATGGTCTGAAACTCAACATCAAAAAAACGAAGATCATGGCCACTGGTCCCATCACCTCCTGGCAAATAGAAGGGGAAGAAATGGAGGCAGTGAGAGATTTTACTTTATTGGGCTCCATGATCACTACAGATGGTGACAGCACCCACAAAATTAAAAGACGCCTGCTTCTTGGGAGAAAAGCAATGCCAAACCTAGACAGCACCTTAAAAAGTAGAGACATCACCTTACCAACAAAGGTCCGTATAGTAAAAGCTATGGTTTTCCCAGTAGTGATGTATGGAAGTGAGAGCTGGACCATAAAGAAGGCTGATCGCCGAAGAATTGATGCTTTTGAATTATGGTGCTGGAGGAGACTCTTGAGAGTCCCATGGACTGCAAGAAGAACAAACCTCTCCATTCTTAAGGAAATCAGCCCTGAGTGCTCACTGGAAGGACAGATCGTGAAGCTGAGGCTCCAATACTTTGCCCACCTCATGAGAAGAGAAGATTCCCTGGAAAAGACCCTGATGTTGGGAAAGATGGAGGGCACAAGGAGAAGGGGACGACAGAGGACGAGATGGTCGGATAGTGTTCTCGAAGCTAACAGCATGAATCTGACCAAACTGCAGGAGGCAGCGGAAGACAGAAGTGCCTGGCGTGCTCTAGTCCATGGGGTCACGAAGAGTCGGACACGACTAAACGACTAAACAACAACAACAACACTTATTGATCTACTGCTTTTTCTCCCAATGTTCTGTGTTGTTGCTCCCTGGAAACTCTTGGCTTGTGAGCTGCTTTGGACAAAGTGCAGTGGACCTTATTCTACAAAGTGCAATGTAGGTTGACAGTGGTTCCGAAATAATTCTGTGATTTTGGAGGCGCCTCAGTCTTGATTGGCACATCTCGTGAAAGTTGTATTGAAGACTAAGTCCCATTGAAGAACACTGAATAGGACTTAGTCGTGGCTTATCTAAACACCATGGGTGGTACTGGGACTCTGACTACCTGGAGTGGACTGTGCCTGGTAACTTTTGAAAGGAATCCCCCTTTCTCCCTATTCTCTTGCTTACACTTCCACATATGTTGCCTTCTCTAAGTTGTTGAAAGATCTACACCATTTCCCTGCTATAATCCCTTAACTTCTCAGATGGCTTCTCTGTCTGCTTCATGGGACAATGAAGCAGAACATCTGAACATTAAATGGAACCATTTCCTACCTGCCATGCCGATAGGAGCGCTCAAATAGCATGAACATAAAACCAACCAATGGAGAGCAGTGCTTGCACTTCTCATGGATCCAGTGTCCGGTAAGAAGTGGGCAACGGAATGGTGATGGTACAAAGCTGTTCATTAGTGTCTCTATGGTAACCCTGCAGAATGTGAGGAAGGGGCTAGGAGAATATCAGAATCAGAATCAGATGATGTCATCATGGAAGGTGGAAGAGCAGCCCAGAGGTGAGAAAAGGGTGATCCGTTCACACTACCTTGTTGACAATTCACAGGCTCCCTTCAAATTTTTTAACATGGCCATCTAAATTTTCCTTGGGGGTGGTATTTTTGAATGGAAGACCAATGTATTCTTATTTTTCCTTATTAAATGCTAGCTCCACATCCTGTTAAGGTCAACGCACCTGTAGCTGTGTCCCATCATGTTAAGTATAATGGTTTAATGGAGATTGAAATGGAAAATGCTTGTATATATGTTGCCAAAGGTTTACGGTAACTGGGAAATTCCATTGGGCTATATGGAAGCTAAGAAGAGCTATCTGAGCACTGAGATGGGTTGATAATTAACTGTTGATGTTCTCTGCTAGCTCTCACATGGTGAGAGAGGGATTCAATTGCAAGTGCAGGGATCTCAACTCAAGCATCCATGACAGATGGACATCCAACCTCTGCTTCAAAACCTCCAAGGAAGGAGAGTCCACCACCTTCTGAGATAGTTTGCTTCACTGTCAAACAGCTCTTATCATCAGAAAGTTCTTCCTGAAGTTTAGTCGGAATCTGCTTTCCTGTAACTTGAAGTCATTGGTTTGGGTCCTAGCCTCCAGAGCAGGAGAAAACAAGCTTCGTCTTCCACGTGGCAGCCTTTTAGATTATTTGAAGTTGGCTAGCATATCTCCTCTCAGTCTGCGTTTTTCCAGGCTAAACATACACAATTCCCTCAACCGTTCCTCATAAGTTTGGGCAAGGAACAAGGTGACTAGAACGAGATGTGAGACCGATTGTAATGTCAGTGGAAAATATTAATGTTCACCCCAAGGTGAAAGACAGAAACCTGTAATTCACAGGACATTTTGATGGACAAGTGACATGACGGGCACTACAATTTATCTTCAACGCCTCCTCTTCCTGTGACATGCCATGACAGGTTATTGTTGTCACTCTTTTTCATGGGGTGGGATTGCTGTAACGGTTTTGCAAAAACAATCCCATTATGCTCTTTATTTGGGGCTGCTTCTTCCTCTAGCCTTTGGGAGTGAAAACCTTGTTGCAACAAAATAATAGTCGCTTTGCTTCTTGCCTGGCTAGCTGCAACTTCTGATTATTTTCTCTGACTGACAAGAAGGACTTGTGGGATCATGGTGAGTCCCTTGAGCCCTAGGGGTGGGCAGCACAGAGTGACCCCCTATTTCTTAAAACACAGGTTATATTGAAAGCCCCCCTAAACCTTAAAAGCCCCCTGAACCCTGGAACAGACCCCACACCTCTCGAAATCAGGACAATCAAAATTCCTCTTCTTATTCAGCTTTCCCTATCAGCACTTGCCACCGTGGTCAGCATACCAGTGTACTGGAAGAAGCAAAGATCACCAGTGTTGAAGCAATGCTTCTTCAACATCAACTTCGTTGGACTGGTCATGTTGTGCGGATGCCTGATGATCGTCTTCCAAACCAATATTCCGAACTTAAAAATGGAAAGCGTAATGCTGGTGGTCAACAAAGGAGGTTTAAAGACTCTCTCAAGGCAAATCTAAAAAAATGTAGTATAAACACCAACAATTGGGAAACACTTGCCTGCAAGCGCTCCAGTTGGAGAACAGCCTTTACCAAAGGTGTCATGGGCTTGGAAGACGCTTGAACTCAGGACACAAAGGAGAAATGTCCTAAGAGGAAGGCACACTTGGCAAATCCACACCGTGATCAACTCCCACCCGAAAACCAATGTCCCCACTGTGGAAGGACGTGTGGATCCAGAATTGGCCTCCACAGTCACTTATGGACTCATTATTAGAACCATGTTTATGGAAGACAATCTTATTTGGCTATGAGTGATCGCCAAAGAAGAAGAAGAAGAAGAAGAAGAAGAAGAAGAAGAAGAAGAAGAAGATGGCAGGGGCTGAGGGGAGTTGCAGTTCAGAGCCCCCAGGGGCCACCAGGTTGAGGGGAGCTGCACCAATTCATTATCAATGCATTTATCCTTGCCCTCCCTTCCCCACACTGAAAGCTGATGAAGACTGCAATTTGAAGAGGACAGCTCGCTACATTGCCCTCATATTAAGGTTCCTCTTTCTTTTGTATTTGCATTTCCCTGTTGTTGTTTTTTAATTTCATAAAAGTTATATACCAGAGATCAGTGGCATACTGTGGAGGGGCCAGGGCGGCCATGGCCCCAGATGCAAAATTCTGAGGGGGCAATGATTTACAGATGGTATTTAACTCTGAGTAGGCTTGCTAAGATGTATAAGACTGAATCAGATAAGTCCTGGGGATGCAAAGAGGTGGAGGAAACGTTCTTCCATATATGGTGGATTTATAAAAGGGTAAAAGAGTATTGGGAAATGATCCATAATGAACTGAAAAAGATGTTTAAAAGTACTTTCCCCCCAAAAACCAGAGTCCTTTCTGTCAGGGATAATTCAGACTGAAATTCCCAGGTGTCAAAAAAGGTTATTTATGAATGCCACTACTGCGGCCCGAGTTTTGTTAGCCCTGAAATGGAAAACGGGTGAGGTCCCAACCAAAGAAGAATGGCCACTTAAGTTGACAGAATATGCGCAGCTTGCAGACTTAACATATAGAATAAGGGAACAAGAAGAACATATGTTTAGAGAAGATGGGGAAATGTTTATTCAATATATGGAAAATGACTGTATACAGCTGAAAACGTTGGCAGCATTCAGATAAATTCAACAGTGTAAATAGGTTTTGATGGATGTAATAATGGAATAATGAATGGTATAGTTTCTGTAAAATATGCAAGGATTTGTGTATTGTAAAATGAATCATGGAAAGAGAAGAAGGGAAGTCATTGATATCTTAAGGATATAAAAAATGAGTACTTTTGTAAATTGTAAAACAGATATATATATATATATATATATATATATATATATATATATATATATATATATATAAAAACAAAATTATGAGAGAGCACAACCAGGCACTCACAGGCAGCCACCAATTTCTGCTGGGACCCCTGCCATAGTGATGTGTGTTCTGGTGTGCCCCATCCCTGGCTCCCCATCCTTCCCTTCCTGCCTGTCGCCTGGGGTCTCTCTGCCTGGCCTCACTGCTGCATCCCTGGCAGAGCCTGGCAACTGTGGAGGCTCTGCACAGGCCAGGCAGAGGACTCTATCCACCTTTCTCACGCTCCCGAGTTTTTAAGCTATTCAGCTATGTCAAATGTCCCGACAGACTGTAAACTCCCAACGCTTGGTGAGCAGGATGAGCATGAACAGGCCTGCAGATCACCATAGGCAATATCCCACAGCCTTTGCTCTAGTGATCTGAAGGCTATGTTGAAGCCCAAGTGTTCAAGAAGAGATGGGGACAGCCCAGTTGAGTAGGTTTTTGGGTGTTGTGCTTGGACCATCAACTTTTAAAATCTAACAAGATTCTTCCGAACCTTTGGACTCCTCTCCTCTCCTCTGTGGGTCCTTCATATATCTACGTCAACTGCATATTATAATTCATCCGCATTACAGTGGTACCTCAGGTTACAGACGCTTCAGGTTACAGACGCTTCAGGTTACAGACTCCACTAACCCAGAAATAGTACCTTGGGTTAAGAACTTTGTTTCAGGATGAGAACAGAAATCGTGTGGCAGCGGGAGGCCCCATTAGCTGAAGTGGTACCTCAGGTTAAGAACATTTTCACGTTAAGAACGGACCTCCAGAACGAATTAAGTTCTTTTTTTAAAAAAAATTATTGGAATTATATTTACAACATAACATAAAGCTCCCACTCCCCCAATACACAAATCCACCCTCATTACATGTGAACATAACATACAATGAGGGACGCGGGTGGCGCAGTGGGTTAAACCACTGAGCCTAGGGCTTGCCAATCAGAAGGTCGGCAGTTCAAATCCCCGTTGCTCGGTCCCTGCTCCTGCCAACCTTGCAGTTCGAAAGCATGTCAAAGTGCAAGTAGATAAATAGGTACCTCTCCGGCGGGAAGGTAAACGACGTTTCCGTGCGCTGCTCTGGTTCGCCAGAAGCGGCTTAGTCATCCTGGCCACATGACCCGGAAGCTGTATGCCGGCTCCCTCGGCCAATAAAGCGAGATGAGCACCACAACCCCAGGGTCGGTCACGACTGGACCTAATGGTCAGGGGTCCTTTTACCTTTACCTTTTAACATACAATGAGCATAACATAAAACAATACAAACAGCCAAATAAAAGACTTCCTTTATCCTGTATCTGGCCTCCTTATTTACTTCTTATAAACTGTTTCCATTACGAATAATTAAGATTTTTCCAATTGTAACTTAAATATCCACAAAGTCTCCTGCAGACATTAATTGAAACAAGTCCAGGTATGTCAGAACGAATTAAGTTCTTAAACCGAGGTACCACTGTATAGTCCTCCAAAGTAACCAAAGTCTTTGTAACATTGCAAGAGTTATTGAATACCTGCCAAAGAGCTCAAGTGAGTACTAGTGGCCAAGCTGCATGCTCCAGCCCTGGGGGCAAAGAGCAGGCTTGGGCATGGCTGGTGCGCGTCCTGGGGGGCATGGAGCCCGGCGCGGTGGGGGGGGTGCGGCACGTGTCCAGGGGGGGCAGCCGCGATGGTTCCCCCCTCCCTGATGGTGCCGGGGGCAGTGTGCTCTCCCCCGCCCCCATTCTTCCACCAGTGATCTTTTAAGTACAATCTGTATTTGTCCCATTCCCTATTGAAGTTTTGATCCTCATGATTTCTCATCTTCCCTGTCAGCCTCGCCATCTCTGCATACTCTAGTAGTTTCATCTGCCAGTCGGCTTTTGTTGGCGTCTTCTCCTCTTTCCATCGCTGGGCAAGGAGCATCCTTGCAGCTGTTGTCGCGTACATGAATAGTCTTCTCAAATCCTTCGGTATGTCTGCACCTAAAATTCCTAACGAAAAGGCTTCTGGTCTTTTAACAAATGTTATTTTAAACATTTTTTTTAGTTCATTATGTATCATTTCCCATAATTCTATATTTACAATTCCACCACATATGATAAAAGGTGTCCTCTTTTTCCTTACATTTCCAGCATACATTTGAGTTAGTTCTATACATTTTTGCTAACTTACTGCGTGTTAAATACCAACGGTACATCATCATCATATAATTTTCTTTCAGCATGTAACACGCTGTAAATTTTAAGTCTTCTTTCCATAATTTTCCCCATGCTGTCAACTGTATACAGTATTATATGCAAAATCTCTTGCCCATTGAATCATTACAAATTTGACTTCTTCATCTTTAACAAACCACACCAACAACAATTTATACATTTTCGATAGAAGTTTCACCTTTTTTTGTAACAATTGCCTCTCAAAACTCGATAATTCAGTAGTGAAACCCTTTCTTTTATCCATTTTAAAAACATTGTTCAGCTGGTGATATTGTAACCAATCTGTTAATAGGTCTCTTGTATGTCATCATATCTTTTTTTCAATTTTAGCTGATTTTTCTCCTCTCTAAGCAATTCTTTATATGTTGCCCAGTCTTTTTTCATATTCAATTTTTTCATGGTAATTGCTTCTAGTGACGATAACCACCATGGCGTTTTTTGTTCTAACAGATTTTTATATTTATCCCATACCGCATATAGGGACTTCCTTATTACATGGTTCAGGATTCTTGTGTACCTTAACTTTTTCATACCGTAAATACGCATTGGGCAGCTGTTTTGGCACCAAATGCTTTGATGGCAGGTGGAATATATTGACCTCCTTTAGTAAAGAAGTAGCACAGTAGCTGACTGACAACCTATGCTTTCTGGAGGACTGCAGTTCTATGGGTGGGTCCATGTCATTGCGTGATGGAATGTCAGCCCCAGGTATTGGAAGCTTCTAATCTAATTGAGGGCATGCCCATCTTGTGACTATTTGCACTGCAGAAATGTCTTCTTAAAAACCAAGATTTTAGATACCCCAAAGTTACTTTTTAGATCATTCTGTACGTCATAAGACATGAACCTCCTCAAATTGGTAATATAGACCTGGTCTAGAACATGAGAGAATAGCTGTGTCGTTAGCATACAATGGAGTCCTCCTGACCCCAAGTCTGGGCAGGTGGCCAAGTGGGTTCATTAGGGCACCATCAAGGTCCTTTAAAAATATGCTAAAGAAGGAGGGTGCAGGGATACAGCCCTGTCTGACTCCTCAAGACATTGATATTTCACTCAAAAGCTGTCCCTGGGCACCGCATCTGACTAACAAGGGCCTTGATGAGGCAGAAAAGTATTTTGACAACTAGAACCTGGTCCAACTTTCCCTGTAACTTGGCTCTGGAGATGAAATCAAAGACTGATTTTAGTTCCATAAAAGCTACATTTAGTTTGCCTTGTAGAGGTTTTGAATATATCTTGGCAAGGTGGAATAGAACTAAACAGTGGTCAGAAGTTGAGTAGTTCTCTCTAAATGCAGCTCGTGCCTCAATAAGGATGCTATTCACATTCAGAAAGGCAGTCAGTGTATTGCAGAGGCAGTGGGCATACTTTTCTCCCATTATTGGTAACAAGCTAATGGGTCTATAGCAAGAGGCGGCAAGGTTTACCTTGCCTGGGCTGGTTCACTCCCACGGAGATTGCTCTGTGGGCTCTCTGCACAGACGCAGTTTCCAGTGCCACAGAAGCAAGTCCCCGCTCCATGCTGTGCCGGTTTAGCGCAGCGCGCGGGGACTCGCCGAGCAGGCGGCTCAGTTTGAGGGCAGCTTGTGGGCCATTTAAACGACCCCCGTGGGCCGCTTATGACCCGTGGGCCACAGGTTGCCAACCCCTGGTCTACAGTTCTCAGGGTCACTGGGTTGGCATTTCTTGGAGTTTGGGACCATTTGTGTGGGATGGAAAGGTGAACTCAAGGAAGAGGATCCTTAGTCACATGATGAGTTTATTGGGGTAACAATAGGGTTGGAGATGGGATGAGAGTTCTTTCTTTGCAGGACATGGAGGAAGTGGATCGGATCAGCCATGTCTGGCACCCTCGAAGAAGGAAGAAACTGAGTGGGGTGATTAAGGCCAAAATGTCTTTAAACAGCAAGTTGCGGCTATACTGGTGACTGGGAGCACGGCTGTCAACTTTTCCCTTGTGAGGAATCCTATTCAGAATAAGGGAATTTCCCTTAAAAAACGGGAAACGTTGACAGCTATGACTGAGAGTGGCTGCTGGGACCATATAACACTGGTCCTAAAGGATCTTCACTGGCTCCCAGTATGCTTCCGAGCACAATTCAAAGTGTTGGTGCTGACCTTCAAAGCCCTAAATGGCCTTGGCCCAGTGTACCTGAAGGAGTGTCTCTACCCTCATTGTTCTGCCCGGACACTGAAGTCTAGCGCTGAGGGCCTTCCGGCGGTTCAGTATGATGTTTCAATATGATTTTACGCTGTAAGCCACCCAGAGTGGCTGGGGAAACCCCACCAGATGGGCAGGAAATTACTACTACTACTACTACTACTACTACTACTACTACTAAATATAAGAATGTAAGCTTTACCACCCAACCCCTCGCCCCTCTTTTTCTTCCCAATCCTATGCAGCATATAACACTAATATCTTACATCAAATGTAATTGATCTGTAGAAATCACAACCTGAAAAAAGAAACAATGCACATACTTTTTAAACTAAGAAAATCTTTAATAAAAACAAACTGTTCAACTATAAAACTGTTAAAAGGCTATGAGACTATTAAAAGATAATAAAGATAATAAAACAATAAAAGCAAGACTTGCAAGCAGCGTTACAACAACCTCGGCTATAAAATTGGAGGCTTCAACAAAGCTACTGCTGCCAACACCATTTTCAACTCCTCGCTTGGCATGCTATGTGACCCGGGCAGCAGGAGCAGCAGCCCATGCCAATAGTGAGCGGGCAAGGACTCCTCAGTAGTCCTTGCCCTAGACCCCTCAGTAACGCCATGGATACCCATAGCAAGTTGAAATGTTCATTTCCTTCTCACGCTCCACAAAATATTTCACCCTCCCTACGGAAGTCCAGTGTGATGCCTCCTCCCTCTCTCTCTGAGCTTTCCTTCTCATTGCCTCTCGGATGGGCTGTTGTTCTTCAGTTATTGGCAAGGATTCCTTGAGGTCGTCTGGAAGTGTCCTCCAGGGAATATAAGTATCCCCTCTCCATGGTGGAGAGGTTGGTGGTTGTACTTGCAAGGGCTGAGCTCTAGTTGCAGATGATTGGATGTTGCTTAGGAACCTGGAGCTTTGACGTGGCACAGCTGGCTGGTGAGGTCTGTTGGGCACCGTCCTAATAATGGTGTCCAGTGGTCTCCAACGTCTGGTGAGGAAAGCTGAGAGCTGGATGGCCATCCTTCATGTAGATGTGAGCCTGATGGCTTTGGCAATGATTTTGGCAATGGGTGTTCCACATGGGTTGGCAGTCTTTGGGAAGAAGAAGATTGTTTCCTAGGCAGCAAGAGAGGTGTCAGCCTTCGCACAAAGTGGGGTGCTGGCCTCAGCAAGGAGGGGCGATCAGAAGGGGGGTCTTCATTAATTCCTCAGACTCTGGAACACCTCAGTTTCTTCTCCATTTCCCTTCCCATTTGCTTTGGGTGAAGTCTGGAACAAAAAGAAGAAGGAGGTGCAATCATTATTTTAGATGCAGCTAGTTTGTCCATAATGGAAAGTCTTAATTTATTCCATTGTATTATAACCATATTTCTACCTCCAGGTTAAACAAGCATTTTGTTCAGAATATAGGGATCATTTGTTCTTGCAACCACCTGAAGGTAGGCTGTATGAATTGTGTATTGCTTTGTAATGATTTGTTGGGTCTCTGGACCGTAATAAAGATTGATGATGATGATATTTCTACCTTTCCATGCTGACTATAATTAAACTGACCCAACTTGTTCAAATTTTGGGTAATTTGTACCCCCAGATATCTAAAACTTTTCCTAGCTTTTGGAATCTTAAACATTGCTGTAAAAGTCTGCTATATATGTGGTGATGTATGAAAAAATGTTACCTCTGCTTTCTTAAAAGTAGCTTGTAATCCTGAGACCCTGGAGGAACTGTTCCAGTTCTGTGCATAATATTTTGCCTGCTCTGATAGGGTCAGAGGTGCATAAAATTATACCATCTGCAAAGAGTTCTGATTTTTGTTCATTTCTGTTTATAACCACTCCTGTACCTTTGGGGGGGGGGTTATTTCAACTATAATTGGTAGAGTGGAGAGAGAAAAGTGTTTATGTATGCTACCATTGCTGCTTAAATGATTTATGCCCAAAGATGGAAGAAGGAAACAGTTCTGACAGAAGAAGATTGGCAATGTGGAATATGTAGAAACAGCAAAACTAACCAGAGAAATAAGAAATCAAGAAGAGAGACTTTTTAAAACAGAATGGGGAAAATTTATTGACTATTTGAAGATACATTGTAAACAAATCAAAACATTACTGGGACCGATATAAACACATGCAGTAAGAGACAATAAAAGGGGAAATAGGAGGAAAATAAGGGGGAAATAGTGAATATATTTGAATTGGACATGCAGTAATAAAAAAATATAAAATAAGTAACTGACAAAGGAAGGGAGGGAAGTTGAGCGGAAGGTACATGAGATCTGTAAAGATTTTCGGTTTTTTGTTAACATATTTATAAAACGTGGAAATGGAAAATAAATATTTATAAAACAAAAATGTTTGTAACCATTCCTGGACAAGAGAGGGCACTGCATACTTTGATAGCAAATGGTTCTAAAATTAATACAACCAACAGGAGTGACAGAGAACATCCTTCCTTCTGAACTAAAAGGCCCCAAGCTGTCCACATAAGGGAGTTACTCCAACCCATGGATAATTTTAATTGCTTATGATCCCATTGGGGAGGAATCTTTTCCCCATCCTATCTCCCTCCCTCTTTCTTCCATGGAGAAATAGCGCCACCCTGCTGATGTTCCCATAACACATTCTGTCTTTCATGATGCTTTGCTATTCCCCCACCCCCGGGGTAAACATGAGGGTGAATTTTTCCCCAGTGTTCCTCAAATTCACCCATGCTCAGTGCCAATTCTAGTCAGCATCCCTTAGGGTGAACCCATGGAAGTGGGATCATATGAACCTGTTTACTGCTGTCACCACAGTAACCAGGAAGATTCTAACTGGCCAGAGAATGTTATGATGCAAAAGGCAGAGCAGAGTCATGGGCAGTTGGCCTGAACTGAAGGTGCCAGGAAAACAAAGATGTCTGTTAGCGGAACTGAAGAGTAAATGAAGTTATGGCCAATTTGAGTCATAAGAAGCCCTACTACACTCTCCTCCTATTGTAGGCATCCCCGCAGTGTGACCGGGTTAATCTGGATACCTAGTGAAGTGACGGGCACCAGCTAAATCTTACACCTTTTAAAGTCACCTGTTTATATAATTTGGTGAGATAGGGGTCACAAGAGCAACAAAGCACATCATTCATCTAAGGACACCACTACTCTCAAAGAACAATTGCTGTTTCCGGTTCTCAGATGAGAGCAGAATCAAACCAACTTGCTTTCGGCTCTGGATCAATGTGGATAATTTATGGATATGTACTTATTGATCTACTGCTTTTCCTCCCAAAGTGAATGTTTTGTGTTGTTGCTCCCTGGAAACTCTTGGCTAGTAAGTTGCTTTGGACAAAGTGCAATGTACCTTATTCTACAAAGTGCAATGTAGATTGACCGTGGTACTGAAACAATTCTGTGATGTTGAAGGCGCCTCAGACTTGATCGGCACATCTTGTGAAAGTTATATTCAAGACTAAGTCCCATTGAAGAACACTGAATAGGACTTAGTCATGGCTTATCTAAACCCCATGGGTGGTGCTGGGACTCTGACTACCTGGAGTGGACTGTGGCTGGCAACTTTTGAAAGGAATCCCCCTTTCTCCCTATTCTCTTGCTTCCATGTATGTTGCCTTCTCTAAGTTGTTGAAAGATCTGTACCATTCCCCTGCTATAATCCCTTAACTCAGGGGTCTGCAACCCGCGGCTCCAGAGCTGCATGTGGCTCTTTTACACCTTTGCCGCGGCTCTGGGGCGGATACTAGCGAGGGGAGGAGGCGCATTGTGCGCCCCGACACTCCCCACTGTGGCGGGCGCTGTACTGGCTGTGACGTCGCATGGGGCGGTGCATGCGTTAGTCACGCACCGTCCCGACGTCACCTTCCCGCCCGCCCGCTACATTGTAAGGGGCATGTACGCTGGTCACTGCATTGAAAGGGGGCATGTACGCTAGTCACTGTTTTGAAGGGGAGTGAAGAACACACACACAAAAAAAGGTAACTTGTTAATTTAACGTTTATTTCTATGAGGAGGAGCAATTCTGAGGGGTCAAACAAAGAAATAATAAAAAAGTGACAAAAAAGTTATTTTTATAATGACAAGTTTTGCGGCTCCCAGTTTTTTTTTCTTCGGAAACGGGTCCAAGTGACTCTTTTTGTCTTAAAGGTTGCAGACCCCTGCCTTAACTTCTCAGATGGCTTCTCTGTCTGCTTCATGGGACAATAAAGCAGAGCATCTGAACATTTAGATGGCACCATTTCCTACCTGCCATGCCGATAGGAGCGCTGAAATAGCACGAACATAAAACCAACCAATGGAGAGCAGTGCTTGCACTTCTCATGGATCCAGCGTCCGGTAAGAAGTGGGCAACGGAATGGCGATGGCATAAAATTGTTTATTGGTGTCTCTATTGAAGCTGACCAGATTGGTCCTGGGGATTGGCTTCAAAGGACGTTCTTCCAGTTTGATCTTTTTCCATACTTCATGTCGATGTGAGCCTGATGGCTTTGGCAATGGATGTCCCACATGGGCTGGAAGTCTCTGAGACAAAGAAGAAGATGGTTGCTTAGGCAGCGAGAGAGGTGCCAGCCTTTGCACAAAATGGGGTCCTGGCCTCAGCAGGGAGGAGGGATCAGAAGGGGGCACCAACTTAGGCAGTGTCGAAGAGGACCTGGGATAGGCTTCAGAGGCCATTCTTCAAATTTGTTCTTGTTCCCTCTAGTACCTCGTATTCTCTCTTTGCTTTCAGCTCCATTTGCTTTTTCACCACACCTTACTGCTGTCACCACAGTAACCACCAAGATTCTAACTGACCAGAGAATGTTATGATGCAAAAGGCAGTGTGGAGTCATGGGCAGTTGGTGCCAGGAAAGCAAAGATGTCTGTTAGGGGAACTGAAGAGTAACTGAAGTTTTGGCAAGTTCATTGAACAATTCCCAACCTGCCATGCCGATAGGAGCGCTGAAATAGCACGAACATAAAACCAACCAATGGAGAGCAGTGCTTGCACTTCTCATGGATCCAGCGTCCGGTAAGAAGTGGACGACGGAATGGCGATGGTACAAATTGTTCATTGCTGCCTCTACGGTAACCCTGCAGAATGTGAGGAAGGGGCTGGAGAATATTCGAATCAGAATCAGATGATGTCATCATGGAAGGTGGAAGAGCAGCCCAGGGGTGAGAAAAGGGCCATCAGTTCACCATACCTGGTTGACAATTCATCTTCACAGGCTCCTCACCATTTTTTAAACATGGTCATCTGAATTTTCCTTTGGGGGTTTGTTTGAATGGAAGACCAATGTATTATTATTATTTCCTTATTAAGTGCTTGCTCCACATCCTGTTAGGATCAAGGCACTTGTAGCTGAGTCCCATCATGTTAAGTATTTGTCCTTCCAATCCACTCTTGTACACAGGTGTACTTGCATCCACAAAGATCTCATACATTAACTCAGTTGACACTCTGTTTGTTGTTAAGGCGGTCTAAGAAAGTAAATTGAGGGAGTCTGAGTCAAACAGTCTGAGAAGAACAGGAGGAAGAGGAAGAGGAGCCTCTCTCCTCATTTCCTGTATTGTTTTGTTTTTTGCTTTCTTGATTCCTGCTTCCTGCTTCCACCAGGGTAATACCACCTGTCAAACACTGTAGGAATTTCAGCCTTTTAGCTCTTGTGATTCTGGAGGTACTGTATTAAGATGCAGCACTGCTCTTTTTGTAACCTGGGAAATAAGATACTGCAAGGAAGAGGCACATATGAGCTCCTAAGAATCAATGAAACGGCTAGAGGCATGGAACACAACAATTTGCTGTTGCTGCTGCTGCTTTTTTATAGAGTACACCACTGGTCCACACTCTCTTCGTATTGTTAGTCTCCAGCGTGACCAATGGTCACAGATGATGGGAGCTTGTAGCACAATTACATCTGGGTGGCACCATGTTGACATCCCCCGCTCTACCTTCTGCGCTGTCTTCAAAACATCGAATGGTAAAGTGAAGCAAGCTGGTTGTCAATTCTTCCAGCAGCAACTGATCGCTAAATTCTGCTGGTATTCTGGGGCCGCAACTAGTAGCAACTCCAGCTTCTAATAGTAAAGTGGTGGTAAAATCACCAGGGCAAATCCCCTCTCTCTTCCCACCCCCCCCCCAGCCTCCGAGTCCATTTTAAACAACTTCTTTGACATTTAGTTTTTCCTTGTAGAGTTGGAAGAGGGAGCTTCATTGTCCAAACGTGAATGCCTGGTAGGAAGAGGTCATATCCAGCAATGTTAAGGAAGAATCACTCTATTGTACCCTTTTCCCATTCCCTATCCAGAGGTCACTTAAGGGATTTAAGAGCCCTTGGGAAATAGACAATCTGAGTTAATCATCAATGCTTAGAACTCCAAGGAGGCCATTTCCTATATTTGGTTTTAGATTTAAATATCAGAAGGAGTGATAAATCACTAATCTTGGGGTTCCTGGAGAGATTTTATCTCTCATTCCTTGCTGGACAGCTTTTGTAAGGGAGGCATGATAGTTTATTGATAGAAGATGTTGTTTCTATTCCAGATGATTCCAGTTGTGGGGGGACAATGACAGGATGCTTCAGGGAATGGCAGAGGGAGCTATCAAAATTCATTTGGAAAGGGGGGGAAAACCAGGATTAAACATAAATTATTAATTGATATTAAGAATAGAGGGGTTTTTGCATTACAAGATCTGAAGCTTTACTATGAAGCGTCCTGTCTTTGCTGAAACAAAAGAGTGGATGATCTTGCAGAATACTGACTTATTGGATTTGGAGGGATGAGACAATAGATTTGGGTGGCACGCCTATTTAGGCTATGAAAAAGTAAAAGCACACAGGGGTTTTCTAAATCATATAATACAGAAATCACTTTACATGGTGTGGGACAGGTACAAAAATCTATTGGAACCAAAAACACCCTGGTGGTTATCTCCTCTAGAGGCCATCTCAGTAAAGAGGAAAAACCTGGGGGGGGGGGGATTGGGCAACCTATAAAGAAATTATAGAGGAGGAACAAAACCAACTCAAATTGAGAAAATTTGAAGAAATCAGACATCACCTCACAGACTGGTTGCAGTACCATCAACTAATTGATATTTTCAAATTTGATCGAAAAAATGGGTTTGCAGCAGAGGTATTGAAAAAGATATATTACAGAATAAAAAGAAAATACTACCTAAAATGTACAGACTGCTGCTAGATTGGGAAGAAAAAAGAAAAAAAAAGTGAAGGATGTGATGATTAAATGGTCAGTATACTTTGGTTACTCCATTCAGGTGGCTGCTTGGGAAAAATTATGGAATAAAGATCTAACGTTTACTGCTTGTTATACACTAAAGGAAAATGTTATGGAAATGTTTTATAGATGGTACATGACCCCAAGCAAATTGGCCAAAATGTACAAAACAAATTCAAACATATACTGGAGGTGCAAGAAAATGGATACCATACGTGGTGGTGCTGTGAAAAAAATTAAGAACTTTTGGGATATTGTCTATGAGGAACCAAAAAAATGTTTAAACAAACATTTATGAAAAAACTGGAAGCCTTCCTTCTGGGCATTCTGACAGATGATATTCCGAATGACAAGAGGAGGGTTTTCCTGAACGCAACAACAGCAGCAAGAAAGTTGATTGCCAAAAACTGGAAGGGAGAGAAAATTCCAAGGAAGGAAGAATGGCAAATTAAATTATGTGAATACTTAGAACTAGCAAAGATGACAGAGGCAATCAGAAGCAAAACAAAACAAAACAAAACAAAAATTTAAAACTGAGTGGGAGTGTTACAGAGTACAGTGGTACCTCTGGTTAAGTACTTAATTTGTTCCGGAGGTCCGTTCTTAACCTGAAACTGTTCTTAACCTGAAGCACCACTTTAGCTAATGGGGCCTCCCGTTGCACCGCCGGAGCACTATTTCTATTCTCATCCTGATCCAAAGTTCTTAACCCGAGGTACTATTTCTGGGTTAGCGGAGTCTGTAACCTGAAGCGTATGTAACCTGAAGCTTATGTAACCTGAGGTACCACTGTATTTTTAAAAAAACATTGTTCCAAAACAAAATCTCTAATATAATTTGATTAATTTTTGCAAATTACTTAACAGACAGATAATGTACGCCACATGAGATCAATGAATTAAAAGGTGAAATAGGGCACAGTTAAAAAGAAAAAGAAGTAAGGACCCACAATGAGGTGGAGGGAAGTCATTTTCAAAGACGTTGAATTATTCTGGTTTTTCTTTATGTATCTTATTATGTTTTGAAGAATGAAATGAATAACTGTATTATTAAACAAACTCAATAAAAAATATGGGGGGGAGAGAGATATGGATAGAAAATGAGACACAGATTTTTGAAGCCTGGTTTTTACTCCATCTCGAATCAGCATGTACAGGTCACAGTCAAAATAGTACGAGGTTCAGATTTCATGGGAAATATATTAGGCTATTCCATAACTTATACTCCAGGAATGGGGAACTTGTGACCCTACAAATAATACTGGACTCCACCTCCTGTTGGTGCAGAAAAAAGAAAAAATAGAAAAGAGAATTCCTGGATGCCAAGATCCAAGTTTGGGGCAAGTAATCTTTGGTGAAATACCCCCAGCAGAGGTTAAAAGTTACAAAATATGCAGCAAAGTAAAGCATGAAGCTCTAAACCTATAAAACATGCCCTTCCTTTTCCTCCAGCATAGGAAAAGACCACATATTTGGCAAGCTAAAAATTGGTGTATTTATAAACTCTTCAAAGGTCTGCTTCATGTCATTTTCCATATATCAGTCAGAAAAGTTGCACAAGCAGTGAAACGTAGCTTAGTTACAAGGCGGTGAAAGTTTCTAAATAATTGGTATAGGAACTCAAGAGAGGCTGGTGAGAGCCATGCGGCTTTGCTGGAGCAACCCACTCATACCTCTTCACACACTGAGCTTAGGTAGTTCAACCCTGGGTGTTGAACAAAGGCTTGATTACCTATTTCTTCCCAAAATAAGAGGAAGTGACACAACTATGCCTGGCAAGACAGCTTACTCTATGGTTTTAACCCCTACCTGCATTAATTAGACTTAATAATGCTGGTTATGTGAGGTTGGTTATCTCACAGTTCTCATCAGCCAATAGTAGGGGATAGTGGGAGCTGTAGGCTGCAGGCACACTATAGCTTTAAAGCATATTCATAGCACATGTCCCAACCTCAAATGATTCTGGGCATTGTTGTTTACCCCTCACAGAGTTACAATTCCCTCTCACTTTCCCAGGTACTGGCAGCAACCTCAGTACAGTGGTACCTCTGGATGCGAACGGGATTCGTTCCAGAGCCCCATTCGCATCCTGAAGTGAACATAAGATGCGTCTGCGTGTGCGCGGGTTGTGTTTCGCCGCTTCAGCGCATGCACGTTACATCATTTTGAGCGTCTGCACATGCACGAGCGGCGAAACCTGGAAGTAACATGCTCCGTTACTTCTGGGTTGCTGCGGAGCGCAACCTGAAAATATTTAAGCTGAAGCGTATTCATCCTAAGGTATGACTGTATTGAGAAGCCAGGTAAGCAACAGCGTCCCACCCCACTCTATCTGGCTGGCTGCTACCGTCTAAATAACCTCCAAGTTCACTTCCAATTCTAAATTCTATGACTCTATTGTGCCAGGCTATACTTTGGATCCTACCCAAACTGCTGGGCTTCTTCTATTGCTCACCCCCGACGCAAAATACAGTGCTTCTCTCGGAAACCATCCCAAAGAGAGTGCCCATACTTCAAATTATGGGATTCCTCCCTGGGGCCATCTGAAATGGCTGGGCCCAACCTTCAGTTATGGGCCCACCCAGGACAAAACAATGGGCTCCAACTATATATTCATGACCTTGGCCTCCTGTGAGCTCTGTTTCCCTATCAAGGAGCTCTGTAGGCAGGCCCTGCCCAGAGACATGATTTATTTCCTCCCAAAATGCATTCTTTGTCAAACATTTTATGTCTTACAACATGTATTGGAATATATCCAGAAGACCACTGTTACCAGAATTTTTATAAAGGCTGGGGGGTTGCTTCCAGTTAAATGGGACGCTGCACCCCCAGACCATCCCCCAAACCAACACCATTAAATTTTGTAAATATCCCCATAAACCCACCACAGTTTTGCTACATTGTATCTTGTTCAAGGTTACATAGTATTCACCTTTCCTTTTGCATCAAAACCTTCAAATATTCGTATACAATCAGGCCTATTTCAGATCGAGCCATTCCAAATTCATTTTACTCAGAGAAAAGGGGGGACCTGGGAAACTGGTAAAGAAAGCCATAATCTTTGAAACCTGGGATCACATACACAGCAGCCTCTTGCACAAGAGATAATCACTGGCATCCTGGCAAATGGGTGCCAGACAGGTAGTCATCCCACGGACAATAGCAGACCATCCAGGAATGGATTGTGCTCTAGTTCAGGACAAAGAAGTGTGATTACCTGACTGGAAAACCAGGAACTTGTAAATATTTCCATTGTATCACTTGATGGGTGTGCCGTAGGGGGCAAGGGAGGTTTGGGGGCAAACTTGATAAACCAGTTTCTGCCACAAACCCCTCCCTGTTTGTGACATGTATGGTGTATTTGTGATGTATGCATGATGCTTCACAAAAGGTGTTTGTGGGTAAAAGGGAATTTTTTTTTTTTAAAGGGAGCCATCCTTTGTTCTAGGTTTTTTCCTGTTTCTTGCATGTGGTGGGTGGAAGTCCTGTTGCAATCCAAGTGAGCCCAAGGGTTTTCCTATAACCTACTGTATTATGAGGAGTTAGGGGTGATGTTCTGCCAGCTGAGCAAAAACACGCAAGATGCAAAGCAGGGCCAGTGCAGGGTGTGACCTGGGGAATGTTTCAACATCAGACAGAGAGGGGCTGAGAGGCCATGTTCATCTAACATTCCTGTCCTAAACTGTCTTAGGAACTATGGTTCTCAGGTGCCTGAAACTGCCTGGTTGAAGACACAAGATCTCCCACAACTTTTTTTTTTAAATATAAATTTTTATTATTTTCTCCTTAAACAATATTTCCAACCCATACAATAAAATACATAAATCCTTCCGCTCTGCCGAGCCTGTGGCTTCCCTCCCTCCCTTCAGTAGGTTTTCTGCTTTCAAGTCTTTGTCTCGCACTTTGACTCCCACAATTTCTTTAGATCCCGCTCTAAAGTATATAATCAAATTACATCAAATGTGGCAAAATTTATTTCCAGTCCTGCCAAACTGCATGAAATTCAGAAGATCCTTTTTCATATCAGAGGGAGCCTCTTCTGGTTCACTGATCATCAGCAGTATCATGTCCACACACTGATTAATAACATGAGTTGCCCCCTGAGTTTTACCCCTTTGACTCTTCGATTTGCTCACACAGTTGAGGCCAGCATTCTTACCACCACCACTGATTCTGAATTCTTCTGTTTTGCTAAGTTAAAAAGACTCTCCAACATCCAGCATCTAAAGAACAAGCTCATAAAGGGCCATTCTATGCTATCAAATACCTTAATATGGTGATTGGATGCTTGCAAAGCAAGCAAACATTCCAGACCCTGATGATGGACTCTGCCAGCTGATGTCTCGGGATAAAGCCTGTTTTGGTTCTCTCTCTGACCACCTGTAGATCTCAGGTAGCCACTTTGGTTCTGGTTGCTGCTTAGAGGCCCAGTTCTATAGTCATATTTGTTGCTTTAGCCATTTCCCCTTCTTTGTACAATACAGTGGTACCTTGGGTTACATATGCTTCAGGTTACATACGCTTCAGGTTACAGACTCCGCTAACCCAGAAATATTACCTCAGGTTAAGAACTTTGCTTCAGGTTGAGAACAGAAATTGTGCTCTGGCGGCACGGCGGCTGCTGGAGGCCCCATTAGCTAAAGTGGTGCTTCAGGTTAAGAACAGTTTCAGGTTAAGAACAGACTTCCAGAACGAATTAAGTTCTTATCCAGAGGTACCACTGTACTCAGTTTGGCTTCTAATGGGGACAGCCCATTTATAAGCACTGTCTTCAGTCCCTACTTCAGTCAATTCAAATCAGACACATTTGATTTAAAGGAGGTAGGTAGTCAGTTTCCAAACTTTCAGTACATCTGCACACACACCTTTCAGCACAACAGCTTCTTCATCCTCATTCAACTGCTCCGAGTGGCCAAACTATTTTTTTGTCATTAAGCTTAATTTTGGGGAAATCGCTCTCAACCTATCTCCTGTATCACCTCTTCGGTGTTTTATGAAGAATCAATTTAAGTGCGCATGTAAAAGCTATCAATGCTATTTATTACTCATAAAGAGGGGAGCTCTTGAATTACATGTTTGTCCGACTGCTGGCAAGCCACATACACCTCCCAAGACCCCAGGGTTTTAAAATTTTCCAATACAGTTTGATGACCCTACTTATCAGTCAGAATTAAGTATCCAGCCATGCTGTCTGCTAACATCAGCTATCAGCTCCCGTGTATGTGTCAGGCAGGAGCGGAGGTAGATATCTATCAGCAAGCCTAACCAGCTATATAGTTTAGTTACCTAGTTTTATTTTAAAAGTTTTAGTGATTTTACATATACCTGTTTTTAATAGTTTTTGTGGATTTCTGATAGGATTTATCTACAATTTTATTATATACAGGGCTCTGAGAGCTCTTTGATTAAGCTCTTTATAAATCATATACCCACTGTTTCTTGATACCTACTGATGATGTAAACTTTTGCTATGGAGTCTCATGCCACAAAAAAGCTAACTTTTAATGTTCTTTGTTTTAGACTTACGAGAGGATATTTGCCAATAGATGCTATACGTAACTTACTGGGGAACCATCAGACTCTAACCATCAGACTTGGTCCCCTGCAGATTTGCTACAACATACACACGTCTCATCACGGGATGCTGGAGCCAAAACAAAATCTCTATTAATTAACCCTTATGGAATTGCTCACTAATAAAACTAATTTTCTTCCAGATTCCCCTAAGGAGACACCCTCTGCTGTCAGCCAATTATGACAAGTAAACAAATGAAAAAGCTAATGAGCAAACTTTTTAAAAGTAAGATTACAATTGTTCTGCAGTGAACTTAAGTAGCCTTAGGGGAGGCAGGCCCTAATTGGGTGATGAGAGCAACTGGGATATACAGTTACTTTATAGCAAAGGAAGTTTAATATGAGTTGCCAGAAAAAAGAAAATCTCTTAAACTAAATGACAAATTTCGAAAAGAAGACCTTGGGCCACTTTTATATATTCAGTGGAGAAGAGCGTGGGAGCTGCATCAACAAGCTGAAATCTCACACTGTGGAAGAGTAAAGTGAATGATGTGACCAGAATCAGTACTTGCTGAAAGAAAGGATACTAGCTGGGCAGGAAACTAATATTACTTTACCTCTAATCATACATTCACTTTTTTATTGTTTTCATGAAAGACCCTGATCAAACACAACACATGGTCCAGTCTAAAGTCCAGTGAGTGTGGGAAGTGGAATTCCATCAAGGCCACTCCATTTTGCTAACATGTCTCAAACTGGTGTGATGTACTCTGTAAAATGGGGGAAATAGGGAGAGGGTGGCGCTGTGGTCCAAACCACTGAGCCTCTTGGGCTTGCCAATTGGAAGGTTGGCGGTTCAAATCCCAGTGACGGAGTGAGCTCCCGTTGCTCTGTCCCAGCTCCTGCCAACCTAGCAGTTCAAAAGCACACTAGTGCAAGTAGATAAATAGGTACCACTGCAGCTGGAGGATAAACGACATTTCCATGCGCTCTGACACACATCCCGCTGTCCCATTGCGCCAGAAACAGTTTAGTAAAGCTGGCCACATGACCCAGAAAGTTGTCTGTGGACAAACACTGGCTCCCTCAGCCTGAAAACAAGATGAGTGTCACAACCCCATAGTTGCCTTTGACTGGACTTAACTGTCCTGGGATCCTTTACCTTTTACCTTACTCTGTAAAAAAAAAAAGCAACAAACTGTTGTGTTCCATGCCTCTAGCTGCTCCATTGATTCTTAAGAGCTCATATTTGCTTCTTTATCCCAACCAGTATGTAAGTGTTGGTGCTGACCTTTAAAGCCCTAAACTGCCTCGGTCCTGTATACCTGAAGGAGTGTCTCCACCCCCATCGTTCTGCCCGGACATTGAGGTCCAGAGCCGAGGGCCTTCTGGCGGTTCCCTCATTGCGAGAAGCCAAGTTACAGGGAACCAGGCAGAGGGCCTTCTCGGTAATGGCGCCCGCCCTATGGAACACCATCCCACCGGATGTTAAAGAGAAAAACAACTACCAGACTTTTAGAAGACATCTGAAGGCAGCCCTGTTTAGGGAAGCTTTTAATGTTTAACAGACTACTGTATTTTAATACTTAGTTGGAAACCGCCCAGAGTGGCTGGGGAAACCCAGCCAGATGGGCGGGGTATAAACAATAAATTCTCTCCTATTCTATTCTAACCAGGGACTTCTCTGCAATTTGTTGTAGAGGCAACGACCAATTTATACGCGTCCAATTGACATGCAACCCAGAAGTGGCCAGAAAAGGGTGTGGGGCCTAACGGGGTGGGCCAGTTGCTGCACACTCCACCATCAGGCGCAATTACCTAGAACTCAACCCCTGCACAAATCGATGCCTGTACATGTCATCGCTTTCCCCACTGCCACTCAACGAAGTTTCTCCTTGTGATCTTTGTGAAATGACAGAATTATCTTGAGCACAAGGTGTAGTGAATTGAGAGAGCTTGGTTCTTGCATCATCCCAGAAGCCACAGGGGTGGGAAAGAAACACGCTCCAGGAAAGACCTCATTCTCGAGACAGTATTGTAAAGTGAAATCGTGTTTATTAGCTGCAGGATTCTGGTCTATTTGGGGCTTACTGGGATAATGATGGGTTGCAGTTGTTTCAGAATGAGCCACTAGAGAGAGATGTTGCACTTCTGGTGTCCCAAATACCTGCTGGAGATGTGGAAAACCAGGTGGTACCATGTATCAAATGTGGTGGGTGTGTAAAAAGATCAAAGTCTTTTGGAATTATATTTATTTAGAACTTTAAAAAATATTAAAAGCACCTCTTCTTAAAAAACCGGAATCATTCTTACTTGGTATTACGGGCCCTGATATTCCCCGGAATGTAAGAAGGATCTTTCTATATGCCACAGTAGCTGCGAGGGTACTCATTGCTACATATTGGAAAAGTGATAAAATCCCCTCTAGATCACAGTGGCTAATGAAGCTCGTAGAATACACCAAACTAGACAATCTTTCAGAAAAGATCAAAAACAAGCCTAAGCAAGAGTGTATTTCAAATTGGAAAATTTTCAAGAATTACCTCAAGAACATTTGCTATAGCTTAAATTCGGCAGCAGCCTTTGAACAACCTCTGTAAATAATTCATGTAAAAGGAAAATTACATAGATATCTTTCCTTTATTACCAAACAAGTAGATATGTTTATGCAACAGATTTAAAATGTATGAAATATGGAAAAGACGGGAGGTCAGACACTTTGGAAGAAAATTTATTGTTAAAATATCTGGTATTTTATTTTATGAGTTTTTTGATGATTTAGTCTATCGACAACAATGAATTGAAGTCTATGATGTACAGA